TTCTCGGACCTGATTTCTCTCCTCGACGGCGCTCCATGGGAGATTCCCATCAGGAGAGATCTCCTCTCTCAGGCAGGGGGTACGATCGTCCACCCCTGCCCAGAGCTGTGGAAGTTGTGGGTGTGGCCCCTGAGGGGGCACAGCTCATAGCTTCTGGTCTCTCAACCGAGGTTGTTGAGACCATCCTCCAATCCAGAGCTCCCTTAATGAGGAAACTTTTCACTTCTTGGTGCGGAGACCGCCAGCTCGACCCAGTTAACTGCCCGGTTGGTACAGTGCTGGAGTTCCTGCAGGCCCGTCTCTCTGCTGGGTTGACCCACTCCACCCTGAAGGTCTACGTGGCGGCCATTGCGGCCTACCACGCCCCTCTCGGTTGCCAGTCAGTGTGCAGACACCCCCTAGTTACACGCTCGAGAGACATCGCACTGTCCCCTCTGGTTCTCTCTGACTCATCCAGCTCCTCTCGGACTGGACGCTATGGTACAGACTTGGCCAAGGCTTCGTCTGTACGCCTTTCCCCCGATCGCTCTGCTCCTGGGAGTTCTGGAGAGAGTAAGCCGGGACGGGGTCCGTCTACTGCTAGTAGCATTGCGGCCTACCACGCCCCTCTCAGTGGTCAGTCAGTGTGCAGACACCCCCTAGTTACACGTTTCCTCCGCGGTGCGCTGAGGCTGAGGCCTCCGGTACGATCTCGTGTCACTCCGTGGGACCTGGCTGTGGTGCTAGAAGCTCTCTGTAGCCTCCTTCGAGCCTATCGAGGAGATCTCGGATCACCACTTCAAGCTATCAAGACTACTTTTCTTCTGCCGATATCTTCTCTCAAGAGAGTTGGGGATCTGCAGGCCCTCTCAGTGGCCCCTTCCTATCTCGACTTTGCGCCCGACTTGGCCACGGCTTTTCTCTACCCTCGAGCGGGTTATGTTCCTAAAGTCCCGTCTGTCACGCCACAGCTTATCGTACTTCAGGCCCTCTGTCCTCCTCCCTTCGGGGAATCCGACCACGTAACTTTTATTCTCGCTATAGTATTGTTGCTGCCGCCGCCGCCACCATGTCGTGGAGACCCTGTGTGTTTTGTTGTGAAAGCAAAACTACTTTGTTTGGCCTTCCAAAAGAGGACACGACTAGAAATCAGTGGTTAAGTTGTATTTACAACACTGTTCCAGAACAGTTCAACCCAAATATTCAGATGTTTGCAACGCATTTTATGAAGGACTGTTTCTTGATCCTGGGAAGGCTGTGCACAAAGGCTGTTTCTATAAAGTGGGGCAGTTCCAACTTTGCAA